GACATGTGACCACAAAGCTGACCTTCATTCCTTCTATATCCAGACATCTGGGGTCCACTATAACCTGCAGGATCATTCATAAAAATAAACCTGTAAAGAAATCCTGTGAGATCAAATCCATCTATGGTAAATAATGTAACCCTATGTTATGATGTGTGAGTTGTGGCACAGTGTATATAACACATATAGCTTGTAGTCACCCATCTTCTGAGTTGAATCATTGCTACATTCAGATGGCACATTCACAATATTGGATCAGTGAGGGGTCAGGTGTCATCAGCCGGGAGCTTTAGCCAGCTTTAGGGTAATATATATCCAGCATTTACAGCAATCTTTTACTACCTACCGTATACATCTTTCTTTTTAAACTTGTTCTTCTGGAACTTAAATTATTAAAACAGGTGAATAATTCAAGAGTGTGTTTGGTGTCACATAGCTTGGTTGATAAATGTTCTAAATCTCATTTCTTTATTTAACTCAAACATGTTGTTTATTTCTGCAGCTAAACCCAAGTTCGTTGAGCCTGTACAGTTTACACTCTCTGACCAAGGAGATGTACAAATATCAGTTAAGTTACAGAAGTTTTATCCTCAGGAGATGGAGGTGAACTGGTTCTCTAAAACTGGGCAATCTGAAGAGCATATGCCATCAGAGGACACAAGGAGCAATTCTGGAGATACGTTTGATCTGGAGAGTAAATGTTCAGTGTCTGGAGATCTATTCAAAGATCCCACATATAAAGTCATTGTGAGGTGGAAACATGAATCCATGGAGGAATCACAATCCCGAGAGCTGTCTGTTAGGGGTAAGGACTACAGAATTGTTTTTCCTTTTGCAGAATATTGCTAAACATATTTTTAGGCATATTGAAGGGTTACATTCCTATTCAGCAATTTACCCCCTTTTTGCTTCAGCTAGATCGAAATAAATGTCACTTCTTTAGGAACAAGAATTCTGAAGAATTTGGAATAATTTGCTTGCGAGCCATGGTCAAACTCAATTTTTTGACCAATTGAATGTAGAAAATGTTTGCATTTCAAATGTAAGTTTGTGAAAGAGTTGCGCCCAGTCTGTATGGAGAACATGGTGCCTTTCTGACATGATGGGATCCAGATAGTTTGGCTCAGCAGTCACTAATTGAATGCAAGTTGCAGTATACATTGGATGTTCTCCTGAGTTTCTTGCAGATAAAAATATCTTATGGATTCTAGTCTCCATGATAGGTGAGAATACACTATAATACCTGAGCCATTAGGCAGCTAATGAGTAGAAGAAGCTTGGACTGAACTCATTTATTAAAACAGGACAACAGGAACATACCAAACCAAAAACAACATTACACACATAAGAATGGTTGCTTGTGGAGGTGAACCATATATTGCATTGCAACAGATCATTTCTAATGGGTCAGTACATAAATGGAACAAATAGTAAAGACATTATAACAGCACAGACAGCAGACAGCACTGGGAATATGAAAGCAACAAATGTATGGAAGTGCAAACACTGTTTGGTGTTTGCACTTCCATACATTTGTTGCTTTCATATTCCCAGTGCTGTCTGCTGTCTGTGCTGTTATAATGTCTTTACTATTTGTTTACTATTGTCTGATGTGTTTCCATGTTGTGTCTTTGTCCCCTTTTTCAGACCTCCACTGGCATCCAAAGCTACAGAACATCCCAATAGAAAGTGTTTTCCAGGATGATGAGGTTCTTTTACAGTGTCGGTTGACAGACTACTTCCCCAATGCTCTGGCAGTGAAATGGTTTGAGAAGAAAATGGGAAGTCAGGATGTGGTGGAAATTTCCAATTCTCAGAAATACAACGTTCCAGAAATCTCATCGTACAAGATGGAGAACCAAACATTCTCTTCCACAGCGGTCTTATCTTACAAGAGATCTGATCTGTCAGGGAAGGGAGTGGAGTTTATCTGCAGAGTGGAACATCCCAGCCTGGATACACCCATCCAAAATAGTATTTTACAGTACAGAGATACAGGTAAGTAATATTATTTTATCATTTAATGTGTATAATGGGAACTATTTCCTCATTCCCAAACCAGTAGTGGGTATAGAAACTTTGTTGCCTTTGATTTACTAAATACTGAAATGGTCAGAAACAGCAAATCAGGCACAGAAATATTAAAAATAGAGTTTCTCTATTTTTCGATGTTCCTGTGCACTTCTATTCTTTTTTGGTTGCTCTGGAAAGTGAACTACCTACAGTTTTGAGCCCAGTAAGCCTAGACCAGTAGTTCTCAACCTGTTTAACCTCAGGACCCACATTTGTCCTTGGTCATTAAGTTGTGACCCAAGCATTGGGGTACCGCGCGTTCTGGTGCGGGCGATCGAACTGTCGGTGGGAGGTGCGTTTAGGGTGCCATTCAAAAGATGCACCCAGTTTCCATACCTTATCAGAACTGGAGTGGATCCTCAGCCTGAGGTCCAGTGGGGTCTGCTGTGCCGTGACAGAGCTCCATCCATATGTGCATTGCTTGTACAGCTTCCTTTGCGTGCCCTGTAGAGGTGCCAGAATGTGATGTCACTCTGGTCCAGGCACCTCAACAGGGCACGCGAGGGAGCTGTACCTATAGACGTAGCTTCCTCACAGCCATAGCCCCAGCCCATCCCACCACAAGCTGACACTCGGCACCGGGCAGCATATTTTGAATGGCTGTTTGGTGCAAGAACTGACAGTGCTGCGCTAGGAGGGGGCTGAGGAGCCTCTCACCTAGAGAAGTGGTAGGCATGCAGCCACCCACCAGTTGAGAACCAAGGGGCTAGACCACACTCATATCCCTGGGAGCTTAGCCGAGAGGGCATCTGACACTCTCCTAAAATTCTGCAGACATAAATCAGTTTACTGTTACTCCACCACAGTGTTCCAAACCTTAGAGGCATGCTGTTATCGCTCAATGTTTTCACTCTTTTTTGGCTGTCACACACTTAAGGAGTAGCCCAGCGTGCAACCCCATGACCACCACTCATATCACTTTCCATTGCACAGCTTCTTTGTTAGCACCACTGGATTCAATAGACAGTTCTCTATATTCTTTATTTGATAAATAATTTAAATGTCATATCACTTACCATCTGGATCAGTAGATCAGACACTCGCTAAAACAGCATTAACATCTATTAACCCCTTCGTGACGGGAGACGTACAGTGTACGTCCTGTCACAAAGTGGCTATATGACTGGCCACGTACACTGTACGTGCCGAGTTATATTAGCCTTTGTAATGCTGGTAACTGCTGATTCTCAGCAGTTCCAGTCATTAATTAATGCCTCACTATTGAGACATTCATTAATGAAATAGTTAAGCTTTTTTAAAAGCTTCTTTCTTTCATTAATGAAAGAATGAAGCCTTTACATTCAGATACGGGTTCGCTAAATAGCGATCCCGTATCTGACAGCTGAAGATAGCAGAGAGGTAGCAGTGACTCACCTCTCTGCTATTCGTTTTGACAGCTGGAGAGCCTGGCCCGATGTTAAATGATACATTTCAACCACTAGATACAAAATGTATCTCTTGAGTGAAATGTATCACTTCTGATCGTCTAGGAACGATCAAAGACCTTTAGTGAGATCTGTTTCTGACATGCTGTCAGGATCCGTCTCTAAAGTTATTATTAGCTGTTCCTAAGCTTGGAGCAGCCTGATAATAACTAAACATTTTGAAAAGTTAATTTATTCTGCAGAGGGCGGGTGCAATAGCTAGTTTGCTATTGGCTATTGGCTATTGCAAAGGGAAATAGCCAGTAGGAATCTAGCTATGCATTCCTAGGGTGTTTTTTTTTCTTACTTACGGCGGCCTACGGCCCCCAATGTCATACAAAAAAGGTTTACTCTGCTCGGGAGAAAGTGTTTCTCTCCCAGGTGGCCGGGAGCCGCTATCTAATAGCAGGAGACTCCCGGGTGACCCCTGGCAAATCGTCATTCGACCCCCGAAGGGGTCCCGACCCACAGGTTGAGAACCGCTGTTGTAGAGGAAGACAACTCCTGGCCTGAGATTCCCCAAGGATGGGGAATAGTTGTAGCTAGTTGTAGCTCCCAAAATTACCTCATCAACTGCCTCTTCTCTTGATGGAGGGAAATTTTCCTCCAGAGAAGAGGCCATCTGTTGTTATATTCTGAAGGTATACCAGTCATGTGCTGAACCTTAACAGCACCGGATGTCTTTTTTGAAGTGATATTGTAACTTTAATGCATTTAAATTTTAAAAAACATTATATTCTCTGTGCATTAGGACCTAACATTGTCTTCAGTGGCCACAATGGAAAATTTCATAATTATTTTTGCATTTTCCTTATACATTTTTCCAAATGTTCTTTGTCATATTTTTTCATATGATATCTTTCACTCTGCTAGAGGCTCCAACGTTTGTCATAAACAACATCCAGGGACCCCAGACGTGGTACAACGGGGAGAAGGTCACTTTATACTGTGCGGCCTCATACTGTTTGGAAGGTGCACAAGTAAATTGGATTGTGAAAGCAGCAGGTGTCACTATCTGTGAAATAGGCGAGGATGGAGCAGATGTGAAGAAAGCCCCTCACCGGTCCTCTGTCTATGTGGCTCACAGAGAAAGAACTGAAGTATCTGATAAGGAAGGTCTTCAGGATGTCACCTCCTCTCTGACCTTCACTGCTTCCATCTCTAAACACCAAAACATCGCCATTGCCTGTAAGATTCTCTGTGATGGAAAAGTAAAGGAGAAGACTTTTCAATACAAATATCTTTATGGTGAGATTTTCTTTTCTGTATTTTTGTGTATTTACCTCTATAGGGCAAAAAGTATTTGATTGTTCTGTCTCAAATGTTGCTTTATGCAAAATACATAACTCTTTTTGGCAGTTCAAATTGCCAAAAAGGCTCAGAAGATAAGTTCAGTGTAGTTTTATTGCAGCATAAAGAGGATGCTGTTTTCGCTTGAATGAAGGTAAAATTAAATTATTTTGCAAAGCTTCCTGACTCTGCATGGGTAAGAATCGTTCTAATATGCCGTATGGTGAGGCTGGGAATGGTATCTATGGTATTGTACTAACTAGCCACAAAAAAAAAGAAAGAGAATAGAGTGAAACATACCAACACATGAAATCACAAATAATAAGCAGGCTGCTTGTGGTAAGACAATATTCTGCCCTGTTTGAGTTAAGGTGTTATGCAAAGAATACAGAAACTTTAAATATTGGATGTTTTCATGGTGCAGAAATACTAAAAATGCACAAAAACACTTGGTACATCAACTTTCGGGTACCATTCATTTCTGTGAACTTGTTCTAATGACAGTTTCTTACTTTATTCCAGCAAAGCCCAATGTGTCCGGTCCTATAAAACTGTCTCTGACTGATTATGGAGAGGTGCTGTGCTCACTGGACATACAGGGATTTTATGCTAATGACATACAGATGAAATGGAACAACAAGGAGACTTCAGAACCAAACAGACCATCTCAGAACAGTGATGGCACCTTTAGTGTTCACAATGAATGTAAACTTCCTGGGAGCTTCTTCAGTCATCCCGACTCTGCAGTGAAGGTGTCCTGGAAACACGACTCCATGGAGGACTGGGAGAGCAGAGAGCTGTCTGTTCTGGATAAAGGTACCAAGAATGATCAGATCTAGGAGTTACTGAATGAAGGTTTTGTACACATTAAGCTCTTTTTACATTAAGCTAAACGTTTTAAGATTGTAAAAAAAATAGTTTAATGTGAATAACTTTTTATATGTTTAAGAAAATGACCCAAAATCTTCAGAATATGTTGGCATAGATGGAGTCTTGCATTGTGTGAAGTTTGGGGGAAATTGGTTAACAACTAAGTTGTGTTTTGTACGTTAAGCCACATTAAGGTCCCTAAAAAACAAGCTTAATGTCACTCATTTGCCCTGTGGGTAACCAAAATCCATGAAACTTCCAGGATAGGTTTGGGAAGTTGAACGCTTAGGTTGTGCAACGTTTCAAGACAATTGATTGAGGTTTAGGCACATTATGGTACATTAAACTACATTAAGACATTTTCACATTAAATGTTTTAGGATGTCCCGTTCATTTCTACTTTCCCTCCTAGTACACTCCATGTATTGGGTTAATCCCTCAGTGGGATAGCTTACAGTCCCGACCGGTGACTTTTGCTCTAAGTGTAGAGCAAAAGTCACCGTGTGTGATGTCATTATATTTTCAGATAGCTACCTACGCATTTCGACAACCTCCCTGCTGTCTTTCTTATGTCATACTTATTGAGAAAGACAACAGAGACATGTTCAATATTTGGATCTCAACACTACCTATGCCATTCAGGTATTTACCGCATTTTTATATTGAAAGAACACTAATCCTTTAACAATTGCTTGATTTCTGTCACATACTTTGTTATGGTCATCTTCAACTATAAATCTGTCACATGCAGAGTTTCCCTGGAAGCCGGACACACAGGATATTGCAATCCCCAATCTTCTTATTGGCCGAACAGCTACACTGAAGTGTGAGGTGTCCAATGTATTTCCTGATGTCCTGAGTGTGAAATGGCTGAAGAAGGAGAAGGACAGTGAGGAAATATTCCCTGTGATCCACAACCAAACGTATAATATCTCAGAGCTCCGACCTGAGAAGCAGAAGGATAAAACATTCACATACAAGTCATGCTTAAAGTTCAAACCATCTATCAGTACAGAGGAGGGGGCAACGTTTATCTGCAGGGTGGAACATCCCGCTCTGGAGAGAGCAGCAGAGAAGAGCACCGGACCTCTCACTATAAAAGGTGACCATTCATTACAATGCCCTGTATAGCAAAACAGACTAGAAGTTCCCACAATTGTTGTCATTCCTCCCCAGCAGGACATAGGTGGTTGGTCTCCACACTGCAAGTCAACGTCTTTCAATCACTGATGGCTTCAGCATTTACCACATAGTAAACCTTGCTGGGGAGGGCTGTGGACAGGTTTGGGAACTTTTAAATAGCATGCTGATAGTGTATTATAGAAGAGTATGGCTCTGATCTAAGTTTTTTTTAGATCAACAGCACATGAGAAACCAGACTTCCACATTATCTGCACTAACTATTGGAAGGGTCCAGGTGAAATGTGTTGTCAGCCTTAATTTCATGTTGTCTGGTAGGACAATGAGTGTATATTAAATGGCTATGTGTATTGCTAATACTTCTTAAACATCCAAGCATAGCACTTATACCTGGTGCTGGGCTTTCCAATGAGCACAGCTAGGAAAAGATTTCTATTACAGTTAAATTAATTTTTGCAAAAAGCATAACGTAGCTAATGAGATAAGAAGGATAAGTTAGAAAATAGACTTTGGGGGTGATTTACTAACCTAAACACACGCACGCACCAGGTGTGTGTGATTTTCACACAGCAAAACGTATTTATCAACCAAAAAGTCTCTAAAAGCATATTTCCACTAATGCCATATATGGAAAAATCATGCACATGATGCATATATAATGCTGCTTCACAGTTTAGACAAAAATGGTTAGCTCATGCATTTACATTCCTTGCATTCATCAACGCAAGCAACACAACATAGAGCTAATTTACCCAACATCACCTTGCAATTCCTTCAGGGCTTTGCACAACACACCTGCTGGGTGTGTACACATTACAAAGGTGTCTAGATTCCACCCATAGATCATGCTGGGAGGGAACACACTGCAGAGGTGTATACACGTTCGTGGTGTGTTTATAGGGTTAGTAAATCAACCCCATAGAGTCACAAGTACCTGCGACCTGAGAAAAAGCAACAATAATCTGGCTAAGTGGGCTGACTTGGAGGCAAAAGTGGAACATGAAACACTGGATAACCCCATCTCTAAAAGAATAGGTAAGTGAATCATGGAAAGAACTGTCTGTAGGGCTCCAGAGCCACCACTCAGATTCAGATTATTCTTGAAGTGTTATTTTCCCAGGTGAGGATGCACATTTTAATTTTGCAATTTGATGGACTTTTTGTTAGAACTTGCCTCTTCTAGTGACCTTGTGGCCTTGCAGGATGTTCACAATGTAGCAATACATTGTATATCTTTTATTTATAAGGGCTTGTTCACACAAAGCGTGTGCGTTCCAGAGTGGTAGCTGCTGGAACGCACTGCGATCGCTAAGAAACTTCTCCTCGTGTTTTGAGGCGGGAGGGGGCGTGGCGGTGCATTGAATTCAATTGCAACGCTTACACCCTCCCCTCCCCCCGCGCCTGCAGTGCGATCGAACGCGTGGCAAAACTTTGCCAGTGTTGCGTTCCAATGAAAACTCAAAAAATAGATCAAGCCCTATTTTTTGCGTTTGCAGTGGAACGGAACACAGGCAAAGTCTTGCCACGCATTTGATCGTAATGCGGGCGGGG